GAATAGGTGCATAAATGGAAGAGCAAAGGAATAAATGAATGAAGAAGGAGAAAAGGGAAGGAATAGGTGCATAAATGGAAGAGCAAAGGAATGAATGAATAAGGAGAAAAGGAATGAATGAATGATAATGAATAGAGATTCAAGTGAATAAATAAGAAAAATAAAGAATGAGTTTTGAATAAATAACTCAGCAAATAAGAAAATAAAAGGAATTATGAACAATTAAACATTGCATTTTATTTTTTATTTTTTTGTCTTAGTAAATGTTAACGCTGTGATACTTGTTTATCTTAGGTTATCGCCATCACATGTATACCGTACTGGAGTATATGTGGAGTCAACAGAAATACAGGGACACCTTCATTTCTCTTTGTAACTTCCAAATGGATGTAAGAGAAGCTTAATAATAATCGAGAGGGGAGCACAAAAAAAAACATCCAAGTTGCACAGCACTTTTACAATAATTATAAACAGAATGCCAAACAAGGGAAGGACCATTTTTCATGCAATAGTAGAGAGGGATGCCAGATTCCTTGCATGAGCCAGGGAGCGACCTAAAATGTGAGGGGGGGGGAGGGGCTATTGGAAAATTGAAAAACATTGGAAAATATAAGAAACTAGTATGAGCCTTTGCCTTGTATGGGTTAATCAGGAAATCCCTGAACTGCCACCCCCCCTCCCCTATAAAATATGAACGATCTCTAATAACAGGACTTTCATTCCTACCCTTTGCACTGAGCGCTAATCCCAAGTATTTGACACTACAACATAATGGAGTGTGACTGTGCTGGTTGCCACACCTCATTCTTGGCTAATAAACACTCCAAATTTGAACAGATGTTCATTTTATTTCTTAATGGCCTTTGTTTTTTCAGGTGAAGAAAAAAGAAGAGCAACCTCCATTAGTATTAAAGTTCATAAACTTGCTAATCAAYGATGCTGTTTTCTTACTGGACGAAGCTCTAGAGGTTTGTCTTATCATCTTATGAATTATGTTTGTAATATATATTTACATAGGGACTGTGGGAGGGTATATAAAGCCCCCCCACACCCTCTTTTTCCCTTTTCCATACTTCTTTGGTGATTTTTCGTAAATCTTCTACAGATCTAACGTGAGTATAATTATATTGTATATTACTAATAAAATGTCTAGGACATCTAATTTTATGTTTTATTGAATTTTTTGAGATTTATATGAATTTGAGTAACAAAATCTGTGTTATATTTGAATGCAAGTGAGGATGATCTTCTATTCCCTATTTACTAACCTCTCTTGGGTTACTGACCTCTTTAATTATTCTTACTTTGATGGCAGTAGTATAATAGTACTTTCCACCCTTGCAATCAAGTGCTGTCTATAATAATGAATAATCGTCTAATTATGTCATCAGTTCATGGCACAAATCAAAAAGATGCAGTTACGACAAGATAATGGAGAAATTGAGGGACTCTCAGAAGAAGAACGGCAAGAGGTAAGTTTGGTTATCAGCCTTGCTTGATTGCAAATTGGAATCATTTTGCTATCATTCAAGCATGCCGGCCTTGAAGCCTTGGGGGTCTATGTACATTGTATATACTAGCTTGTTATACAATGCTTTTGAGGGACCTGTAACAATCTTCAGGAGAGTAAATACAAGTAGTGACAAGTGTGATGTTCAATAGTGCTTTTTTTAAATCTCACACCATTGAATAGTTGGCCGTGGCTGATGGGAATTAACAGTGTTCAACACCCCCAGATATAGACCCCTTGCAGCACTTTGGAATGCAGCTCAATCTGGGGGACAAAACGATAGGTTGCAATTCTCAAGAGATTGGAATTCTTTTGTTTTGTCCCCCAGATTGAGCTGCTTWGACGACACATGCAAGGGGTCTATATAACAGCTTTCCGGGCTGTATTTTCTGATTTCTGATTGGTTGTTTTTTTTCAACAGTTCCTATTTATTATTCAATATTTATTCATTTCAATAGATCTAATAACTTTTTTCAATTGATATTTAGTTCCAAAGAGAGCTGCGGCAGACTGGTCAAATGGCAAAAAGTCATAATATCTTGGCCAACGAAACTGTGCATACTCTTAATTACCTTACAACAGAGCTCAAAAGGTTGGTATTTTAGTCAACAACATGACTTCACCCACACAACTGGTTAAATGTGTATTTTTGGTATAGAGTAGATAAAAGTTTTGGAGACTAGTTTATTAGCATTTTTGTGGTCTCAATAGCATTTTGGGGCCTYGTTAGCATTTTGGGTGCATAGCGTCTTGGGCCCACATCATTGGTATTTTTCAGCTTGTTAGAAATTTTGGGTCCAAAAATGTGCATATTATTTCTACTGCTAAATAAAAATCAATTCCAAACCTGCAACATACACTGACTTATTTTGCTGAGAACTTGCATTAAAACTATTTAAATACTTACCTTCGGAAATATTCCATGATTTCAGGCCATTTGTCATACCCTGCATGGCCAATAGAATTGCAGGAATGTTGAACTACTTCCTACTGCATCTGGTTGGACCCAAAATGGGTTCTTTTAAGGTTAGTCCTCCTATATACAGTGAGTTTTTTAAAGTCAGATTATAATGACTGACAACCTCTGCTGTGTATCATACAGGGATATTACAGGGTACACCAAGTGGGGTGCACCCTAAGAAGTGGTTGCACTCTTAAAAGTAGGCACAACCTTTAAAATTGACACACCCCAAAAAGTGGGATGAACTTTAAAAAGGGGGTGTACCCTAAAAAGTGGGTGTTCCCCCGGAAAAGTGGGTGCACCCTAAAACRTTGGCACAGCCTTATAAGTGGGTGCACCTAAAAAGTGGGGCTTAGATTGGAAAATATAGCAGGATRAATTAAGCATAAGGCTTAATAGTAACAGGGTTTAGACTTGTAAATATATCTTTATCCTTTAGTAGTATAGAAATGTKGCCATTTGGTTATGAAAGTCATGAMCAAATTTTATGTTGGCAGGTTAAAGACTTCTCAGAGTTCCATTTCAAGCCCCAACAGTTAGTATCTGATATTGTTGATATATATCTGAACTTGGGTGATGAACCAGTCTTTCTTGAGGCAGTTAGTCGGGATGAGCGCTCGTATTCAAAAGCTTTGTTTGAACATGCAGAAAGAGTTCTCAAGTAAGTATATCAACTATCAAGTTTTTGAATCAAATTTTGCATGAATACACTTTTAATACTCTAGTTTCTTTGTTGCTCAGGGTTAGCCTTAAAATTATGTCAAATATTCATGTGTTCCAGTGAAGCTACATGGAATTCCAAAGTGTTTGTATTGTGTAACTAGAACTATGCATTCTTTACTTTACCATTGGTATTTTTATTGAATATTTTGATACTGAAATGAGGTTATTCCTGAGTAAAGAGTTTGTAATCAAGAAACACAGCAGTATTTATGAATTTCAAAAGGGTCTATTTAGAGTAAAAAARAATTTGGGATGCAATGTAACTTGTTCTTGCATACAATATTACCTTGTAGGTTGATTGGCAGGCCAGCTACAGTGATATTCAGGCTTAGTGAGCTGGCCAGAAAAGTGGAAAGCATGGCAACACTTGCCAAGATTGATGACAGTGAATTACCAGAGGTAAGGAGTGTTTGAAAATAATTATTTTGAGGTAACGTGGCTAATATCAAAGTTCCAGTTATACCAGAAGCCATTATTRTAATAGTTCCCCCAAAGACTCTTCCCTACCCACAGAAATTTCAATTTTCTTCCATACAAACTCTGTAATTTTATTCTTTCTCTGTCTCCCCCTATACCTCAAAAATTGCAAATTCCGGGGGGGGGGGGGGGGGGGGGAAGGTAGGGATAATTTATGGAAATATGCAATAAGCCAGAAATAATCCATATCTTTTTTATTTTCTGATTATTTGGAATAACACCTATGTACGTCTAGTATACAGTGCCAAATGAATTATTGTGGTTTTTGTCGTAAGCCAAAATTTGTAACACATACTCAGATTAGCAGTTGAAAAAAAGATTTAATGTCTTATTTTATCATGATGGCATAGTGAAAATAGGGCAATATATTGTGGATGATTATAATGATAATCTTGTTSTCTTCCAAAAGCCTCCAGATGAGTTTAAAGATCCAATTATGGACACCTTGATGAGAAATCCCATGATTCTGCCAACATCAGGGAAGATTGTCGACAGAGACATCATATGCAGGCATTTACTCAGGTATTAACAATTAAATACTCTTATRACAATTCTGACACTAAAAATTGCAGGGGAATAAACTGAAAAACCCACCAGAAATCCATTTACAGTTGATAATAATAGAGCGCATGCAGTAAAACCATGAAATAAAAACAAAGTTGATGCTGACAAATAGTAGCTATTAAGTGCGGAGTAATAGTTGCTAGCACTCAACCAGAACATTTATTAAACAAAAGACACAAATGGTCTCTTGTGTATTTGTCTTTGTAATGAATGTTCTGGTYGAGTGGAAGCAACTATTACTCACTAAATAGTGCTATTTGTAGGTGTCAATTTTGTTTTTACTTCATGGTTTTACTGCATGCACTCTATGCTGCATTCAGTATCTAATGCATATTATTTTATCATTTTATTTCAAATTGCCCCCATATTAACCGTCTTAAGTGGAGAGGCACCTCAATAGTACAAGGGATGGTTGATTTGCTTCAATGATTTTGAATAAGTTAAGTCAAACACAAACTATTAATTTTATTGGCAATGATATTTTTTTCATTTTATTCAACAGTGATCAGAAAGATCCCTTCAACAGAAAGCCACTAAACATTTGTGACTTAAGACTAGATGAAGCACTGAAGGCCAGGATAGACGAGTGGTTGGTTGAACACAGTAAACATACAGCACACAAGGATAAAAGTGATTCTGCCACAGAGAGAGATGTCAACGGCAGCAACAGCATTGACAGTGAAGACTAATTGRTTGGCTTTGATAGCTCACTAGAGTGGAATGAGGGGGGATGTCCTTGGTATAGTGAGTGGATAGGTGAAGATAAGTCAAATGTAAGGATTAGATGACAAAATTTCTTCCCCCCCCCCAAAAATGTCATCTCTGCATTTGCAATAATATTAATTAATATTAATAGTATTTCTCCATTACTTATATATTCTGTATACTAGAACAGAACAAAAAAGGACATCAAGTTATTCCACTCAATAYTTTATTCTAGTTGAATGCAACTACCACCAGAGTTCAAATCACAAAGCAAATGTACGGATTCTATCTGTACAGCATTTTGCCACTTCATGTACAAAATTAATTCTCCTGAATAAATTGTCAAATACAATAAATAATTATTGCCTGAAGGTTGGAGCTTTTATTACCAAATTCTTTACAATGGTTGATAAATTCATTTTTCTAAAGGAAGGACTTGGAGTAGGAATGATTAGAAAAATATTGGGTACAGAAAAAATATACAAAATGAAAATATAACTATATAATGCCAAAAATAATCTATTGCAAGCAAAAATATTGATCTTATAAGTAGATAGGTTTACAGTCGTGGCCTAAGGAAGATCCTAAAAGAGCATTTTAAATTAATTCAAGGTTTTACAGTGTCCTCTTCTTCGTCTTTCTTGCCTCGTTTCAGGATTTGTGTGTAGGTGATGTAATCGATGTTGCCTTTTTTGTCGACCGGGCAGTCTTGTAACATCTCATCGATTTCATCTTCACTAAATCTGTTGAAAAGATAGATTTCCATGTCAATATAGAGTTCTGGAAAATTTTTACTGCTCTCCCATTTGGGGATACCCTGGATTGCAGAAGTGTTTCTTTCATGAGGTCAGCCAGCAGAATAATTCACCTCTGTCRTAAAAAATGAACCTCTGGAACCAAGGATATTTGGGGACTTTTGATGTTAGACATTGAAAGTCAGATTACTTTTTTTTACTAGACCCTCTCAGTCAGTCAAAGATAGGCAGAATCAAGCTGCCAGCCTTCTCCCCCACACATGCTATAAGCTGTGTTGGTTTTCTACCACTAGTGCTCTTTTTAKACTCCATTTGCATTTCCGTGACCCAGACAACACCAGATGTTGTATACTTCTTCATGTTTGGATGCTGTTGTCCATCAAATTTATAATAGTCAGAGTTAGAAATTTCTTGATTGACAGAAACCAAACATATATTTGGAAAGTCGTGGGGGTCAGAAACATGAAAAGCATGTCAACAGGTTGTTCAGCTGGGTTGGCCTTGATGGTTCATAGCACTAGCTGGCTTGAATATGGAGACTAGTATTCACACAATTTTTAGTCCAAGTGCCAGTCTWTATTTTCGTATTCAAGCTTCCTCCCCATCAACACACACATTTAGGGTGTACTTGGGCACTTCGATGGAGCAAGCGAAATGTTAAAAAAAATCCTTGTGAAAAGTAATATAATAGAGAACCTGTTCATTTTTTATCAGGGATGGGGGTGGTAGGATTTGTGTGGTAATTATTGTTAACCCATAAGAGAAATCTGACAAGAAGAAATACGTAGTTCCAGAAAATATCCATACCCCACCACAGAGGGATTTTGTAAAAAGACCCTACCCCAGGAAATTCTAATTTTCTTCCATACAAACTCGGTAATTTGTTCTTACTCTGGCTGACCCGCCTCAGAATTTTCAATTTCCTCGGTGAGTGGGGTATGGATATTTTCTGGAACTACACCCAATTCTCTGTCTGTGTCTTRTGGATTTTTAATTCCGGGCTTTTTTACATAGGTATGCCTATTGTTTCTATYGTATTCGACTTCACAGCTTGTTTTCTGCCTTTTGTCAAATCTTTATGAATTTTYATTTTATCAAAGAAATTGTTCAACCCATAAAACAATGCATGTCATCCGACTTGAGATCAAGTACCGTATAACTCTATCACACAACGATCCAAATATCATCTCTACTAACAACACCCCAATGAGATTCACAAACATATATTCCCTATCTGTTAAACGTTCTCAGTAGCTAAACACCTTCATAAATCTAAGTATACTAACTCTAWTATGCTGGAATTTATGCATAGCATTTCCCAGATGTAAACAACAGAAATAARTCGCTTATCATAATCCCTAACCCTTTGTCAAAAGTATGAATGCTTTGGCATATCATACGAAAGCAAAAAGTCTGTTTAATCGTAACTACACTTCAAATTTACCTATAATTTTCAGACTTGGTGGGGCTATTCCAAAAAGTCTCCCCTAAATGCTAACTTAGGGAATTAATATTTATTTTTAATAGACAAAAAAAAATTCAAGAAAAACTTCGGTGTTCGGGTTCAATCTTGAAGGCGTTAACATGATACTACGAGTTCAATATTAAGCCAAAAAAATCAAATTTAGTATTCAATTCGAAGATCAGCTAACTCTGCTCCTAACTGCTTAATATAAATACAAATTAGTAGTAAGTTAAGTGGTGCGAATACGACTTAATTTAGTTTTGTAAGCCCAGTTGTAACTACAGCTGGCAGATATTGGCGTTGGAGTGAGTGGGGTCTCATTCGGGGTCCCGTTTGACAACTTCTGTACAAAGGAACAAAGAATTCAAAACTATGACAAAAATCCGTACAAACTTCAAGAGAAAAACAGAGTTGAAACTAAACTTACCGATCTCCAACTTGAGTCAACATATCGCACAACTTGTCTTCGTGGATAACACCATCGCCTTCTTCATCAAAACAAGCAAAAGCATTCCTGATGACATCCTCGGGATCTGTCCCGTTGAGCTTCTCGCCAAACAGCGTCAAAAACATCGTAAAGTTGATCGTGCTTCCAGATGCTTCGTTCACCATTTCCTGAATAAACTCATCGCTAACAAACTTCCCAAGAGATGCATACATATCTTTCAAGTCTTCAAAGTCAATGAAGCCATCTCGGTTCTGGTCGATCATGTTGAATGCCTCTTTAAATTCTTGGATTTGTGCTTGGTCGAACATGGCAAACACATTGGAAGTTGCCCTCTGGGCCCTCTTCTTGGTAGTCTTTTTGGTCTTTTTGCTGGACATTTTGCAGAGTTCGAGAGAGCTAACCTAAGTTACTTGAGTATTTTATTCCTCTCTGCTTTGCAAATTCCCGGGCACCCAAGTGAATGCCAAATACGTTCCCAACTTATTTTGACTGTCGCCGCACCCAWGCGTAACTTAACCAAATATGGAATAATTACGTATGCTAATCGAGTCTCTGCATTTCATTGGCTTTTGAGGTCACTGAATATTTGCAGTGACGAAAAACTGCTTTGGAGTCAAACCCGGGGAGTCAAAGTGATAATCCCTCCACGAGGCTTCTTTCCTATATTACCATTGGGATACTGAAAGCTGTGCATTAGTAGAGAGAAAAGCAGCATTACAAAGGAGAGGAGGTTTGAAGAATGGATTAAGAGGAGTAATGGAGTACTGGAAGAGTATTTATTTTCTAAGTTTGAATAATGTTCCCCAAGATTGGTGTGTGTTTTTGTCTCCTAACAAGACTGATGACGTGTTTTATGTTCAATGACGTAGTTTTAATTTCTCCTTATTATAGGTTTTTGCCCAAAACATACCAATTTTTCACAAAACAATCTGACCCATTCCTGATCCCAAAAACTTCTCTATATTTATTAATTTTGATCTCGCATCCTATGAAAATCAGCGGGTCCTGATCTCATATTATCAAGACCCGTTCCAGAGCCTTGTCGCACGTGTATGCACGCGAGTTMTTTCCTTTGTATTATCCTCTTTCAATATTTTGTTGGTGTAACTAAAATGGTAGACTTTCGAAAAGTCCTTCGTCTCCGTATTACCTCACGCGCGCTGGCAGCACTGGCAGCACTGGCAGCACTGGCAGCCCAACCAGAATCACAGGCTACTTCAAAGCTTGCTTTTTTTCCCCACTTGCTTCGATCTTGACTCTGTGAGTCTCAGAGAKGTCGACGTAAAACACGATGACTGATCCTAAAAATAGTATTTCACCGCCCGATGTGGGGCTYGAACCCACGACCCTGGGATTAAGAGTCCCATGCTCTACCGACTGAGCTAACCGGGCTAGCTCTTTAAATCTTCTTGTTGTCAATTGGTTAATTCACCACTTCATTTAGCCCTAACTAGTTTTGAGTACRGGACGTTGACTTGGCATTGCTATAAAAATAAAACATATTAGAACAGCAAAAGAATGACCTTTCTCTGATGGAATGGTTTTTTAATGGAGGCTAGTACATGGTTTCGCATAAAACAGACCAGATCAACCAGATACATGCGTCTACTAAAACCTGGGGTGCTTGCCATTTCAACCAATCCATTCGTGCGGTTGGAATTCGTTTGCTAATGCTAAAATAAAGAGCGGGAAACTTTGACTTCCGACGCGTCTATCAGAAGAACCAACAAGAGCGGGAAAAGTGGATTACCTTTATCGGAAGAGTTTTTTGAATTTTCTAATCATGATCAGAATGACACAGACGGTCATAAACCACTTGTTTTTCCAACCGGAATGATTTTCGACTTTACCCGGTAAATGGTAAGCGCCGCTGGTTTTCACTAACTGACAAGACGCAAGCACAAATGCAATTCACCTTTTCGGCGCAAGCCGTCACGTGGCATAAAATTGAAATGTACTGGCTGTAATCAGTGGGCTGTAATTGAACTATTTTCTTGGTTTGTTTAGTTAGTTCTCTAAATTCAAGTAAAAAATCATTTTTCTAGCTTGATTGAAGCTTTTCTTACTGCTGTTGGATCTACCTAAATTATGGGTATGACCAACCCTTTGCACGGCTGAGGCCGTGTGCTCCCTGTCGCATTGTAGGATGGCTGGAGTGATGGTGCCGGGTGAAAAGATATTACTTGTACTTGCGCTTATGTTTGCCACTTGTGCTTGCATCGTGTTTAGTAAAACTATGTCGTCCCTTGTTGCCAGCGGGTACCATCAAAAATGGCTACGACCCCGCCAGGACTCGAACCTGGAATCCCCTGATCCGAAGTCAGATGCCTTATCCATTAGGCCACGAGGCCGACTAMGCTATAATTTATAATTTGAACCAACTCTACTTTTGAAGTTAAGGTTCGCCAGCCCCTTGAGTCTGCGAAGACAACCACTAGCATGCACATGGCTGAACATACAAATGTTAGTGGTATTAACAAAATTGAAAGCTGAAAAGCTATTGGTCTAATATCGTAAAAAATCTCGAAGTGTTAGGATAAAAGAAAACTTGTCTTTGACAAGTAATTGCAAAACGTAAAGTGAAATGTAAACATATTTTTGGGCATATATACTCGGCTTAAACCGAATGCAGGAAAACGATGAAAAGGTCGTCATGCTATAAATGTAAATGCCATTCGTAAAAAAAGAGACGTGAAGCATATATAATCTGTCTAATGAAATACCATCAAATTGGCCGCGAATACCAATGACACAACGTTCAATATCAGGAATACCAGGGAATTTATAATTATACTTGCAAACAAGACCGTACCGTACTTTAACTTGCCCAAGACAATCAGTTAAACTGTGGCACTCATATAGTACGAGGAGATTTAATTTAAATGTTACGATCAAACCAAGCTTTTCTCAATTATGAAAACTAAGGCTCTGAGTTCTATAAGAAGAGAAGTCTCAAAAATTTACGACCCCGCCAGGACTCGAACCTGGAATCCCCTGATTCGTAGTCAGATGCCTTATCCATTGGGCCACGGGGCCTTCCATGTCAATTGAAGGACAAATAAAAGATCATAATTAAATATCCCAATAAAGACTGCTTATTGGCCACGAATAAAAACAAGCTGGTTGGTTATGATTCGTTTTTTTGGTTTAAAAAAAAAAAAAAAAAAAAAACAAGATAAAGAAAAATACCAGTTTGACAGGTATCAACACGAATGTAGATTAGAGACCCATTGCCACTTACCGATATGCATCGCGGTCACAGATGAATTTCGTGGTCCATGAAATTCAAATATTCATATATTGAATAATAACTTCATATTAAATCCTTTTCCGACATAGCACTAAGGCAAAAAATGATTCTTTTACATTCTTTTAAGAGTTTATTCAAAAGGTTGGAATTGTTTTTTCAGTGTTGACACGATTCAAAATGTAAACAAATTGTGATGCATCACGGTAAGTGGCAATGGGTCTTTAAGGTATGTAGTGAAAGAAGAAGGGGACGATTATTTAGTGATACGATAGGTCAATCTTAGGTAAGAAGTCGGGAGTGTTTTCATATATCATTGTATGTATTCAATGGCCGATTACTTGGAAATTTCACTAATTTTAACAGGAAATGTTTCGCGCACAATCGTCCCGGGGGTCCCGCGGGTCTCGGGGGTTTCAATCGTCTAATTAATGCAAAACCGTTACAATATTCCCACACTGACCCTTAGAACATGCTTTGTTCATGTTCGTTAAAGCTGTATACTTTTCACATAAGAACCTGCCTCATTTGTCAGGCTGAAGTGGTTCTTGTATAATTGGGTACTTTATTGTCTAAATTTTACCCTGGGTTTGCTTTCAGTTGACGCGGGAGCTTTCGCGCCATGAATGTTACATGAATGTATAMATTTAACTAGTTCACGGTGGTTTCTACTGTGCATAAACATATTTCCGCCAGTTATCTAAAAGCTTTCAGCTGAATGGAAACTCTGCTTTATTTTTCATCAGTTGAAGCATCACAGCATCAGTCGTGTCTTGCAATCGGCTATAACTTGCATTGCGCCAGTTTTGCTCATCCGTATGTGAAATGCTCCTAGGCGTTATGTGGATAAATAAACCATTATTTATTTATTTATTTATTTTATCCGTGTTCAATAAATGATGAGTTTTCATTATTTGATTCATACTTTTTATGCGTTTCAGTAAAGCTGATGCAAAAACAACAATTACATTTGTTAATGCGTAGAGTGACCACAGTAAATCCGTAAAACTTTAGTAATACTAATAAATAGCACAATATCATGCAAATTCCATTGTTTTCTATTGTTTAATTAGCACTATTTTGTACTATTTAGCAATTAGTGTTTCATGGATTATTTGCTCGCACTCTACCGTGTCAAATAGATACAAAGCAAAACAAAAGGTTTTGAGAGAATTCTTTTCGTATTCGAGCAGTGGGCGCCAAAAACTATTTTCTCGAAGAAAGGGTTGTACAAGGCTAAAATCTTGTTATTCAGAAACTTGTTT